AGGCTCAGGCCCGAGTCGAACGAGCGGTCTCTGCTGCAGCTGCAGCGAGACTACGAATTGGGTGCAGATCTGGTACCCACCACTGAGCCATTCTCTGTACTGGTTTGTAGTCAGCTTCATGCATTACTTTTCTCTCACAAAGTCCAAAAAACGAGTCAAGTCCGACACTAAGGCTCGGGCCTAATCGAACGAGCGGTCTCCGCTGCAATCTTTCAAATGGTACAGAACATTGGGTGCAGAGATGGTACCCACCACTGAGCCGTTCTCTGTATTAATTTGAGGTCAACCTCATGTGCATTTAATTTTCCCACAAAGTCCAAAAAAGGAGTGAAGTCCTTCACTAAGGCTTAGGCCTGAGATGAACGAGCAGTCTCTCCTACAATATTAATTTTAGACCGATTTATTGGGTGCAGAGATGGTACCCACCACCGAGCCGTTCTCTGTATTAATTCGTGGTCCAACCTCATGCATTACCTTTATTCATGAAGTCCAAAAAGAGGATGTAGCCCATGCTGTACCTTGTTAAGGCTCATGCCCGACTCGAACGAGCGGTCTCTGCTGTTATTCCGTCACCAGCACGCATTGGACACAGAGATGGTACCCACCACTGAGCTGTTCTTGGTATTCAGTTGCGGTCAACTTCATGCATTACCTTTCACCATGAAGCAAAAAAAAAAAAAGGCTCAGTGCTACGGCCCTTAAGGCTTAGGCTCGAGTTGAACGAGCGGCGTCTGCTATTATTTCGTTTCACCATCACTGAGTGCAGAGCTGGTACCCACCACCGAGCCGTTCTCCATATTAATTTGAGAGTCAACTTCATGCATGACCTTTCCCCATGAAGTCTAAAAAAGGGATGCTGCTAGGATCATTAAGGCTCAGGCGCGAATCGAACGAGCGGTCTCTGCTGCGTTTCAACATCCGGGAGTCGCTATTGGATGCAGAGCTGGTACCCACCACCAAGCCGTTCTCTCTATTAATTTGAGGTCAGCTTCATGCATTACTTTTCTCCATGAAGTTCAACAAGGTATGAACCTATGAGTAGGGCATTAAGACTCAGGCTTCAAACGAGCGGTCTCTGCTGCATCCAAAGTTCAATGAATACAAATTACTGAGTGCAGAGCTGGTACCCTCCACCAAGCCGTTCTCTGTGCATTAGGTTCCCCCATGAAGTCCAAAAAAGAGATGCATTTAGGGTACTATCTAAGGCTCAGGCTCGAGTCGAACGAGCGGTCTCTGCTGCATTCCGGCTTCGCCAAACTCAATTAGTGCAGAGGTGGTACCCACCACCGAGCTGTTCTCTGTATTGAATTGTGGTCAACTTCATGCATTAGCTTTCCCATGAAGTCCGAAAAAGGCATGATGCTAGGCCGTAAGGCTCAGGCTTGAGTTGAACGAGCAGTCTCTGCTGCAATCTGTCACAAAATATTGGGTGCAGAGATGATACCCACCACTGAGCCGTTCTTGGTATTGATTTGAGGTGGACTTCATGCATTACTTTTTCCCACAAAGTCCAAAAAAGGTATGAAGTTAGGGCACCACTAAGGCTCAGGCCCGAGTCGAACGAGCGGTCTCCGCCGCAGCTGCATCGAAACTATGAATTGAGTGCAGATCTGGTACCCACCACTGAGCCGTTCTCCACATTCACTTGAAGTCAACTTTGTGCATTACTTTTCTCCATGAAGTCCAAAAAAGGTATGAAGTTAGGGCACCACTAAGGCTCAGGCCCGAGTCGAACGAGCGGGCTCTGCTGCATACACAACTCCTCGCATTGAGTGCAGAGATGGTACCCACCACCGAGCCGTTCTCTGGATTGGTTTTAGGTCAATTTGATGCATCACTTTTCCGTGTGGAGCCCCAAAAAAAGGATGAGATGGGAATATCAAGGCTCAGGCTTGAATCGAATGAGCAGTCTCTGCTGTATCGGACGGTAATGTTGATTACATATTAAGTGCAGAGCTGGTACCCACCACCAAAGTGTTCTTGGTATTGAGGTGTGGGTTGCTTTATGCATTACTTTCCCCCTAAACTCCAAAAAAGTGATGCATTCAGAGCATTATCGAAGGCTCAGGCCCGAGCGGAACGAACGGTCTCTGCTGCTCTTAAATTGCACCAGTATTGGGCACAGAGATGGTACCCACCACGAGTCGTTCTGAGCACTGCGTTGGGGGTTAATTTATGCAGGATTTGTATTCAGATCACCAAAGAAAAAAGTCAACAGAGACCGGTATTAGGGCTCAGGCTCAAATCAAACAAGGGGTCTCTGCTGCAAGGTGTCCAAAGTTGCTCGCCAATTAGTGAAGAGATGGTTCCCACCACTGAGCCGTTCTCTGCATTGAGGTGTGCACTGATTTATGACTATATTTTTTACTTGGAACCAAAAAGCACGAATTTCCCGGAGTGGCTCAGGCCCGAGTCGAACGAGCGGTCTCTGCTGTATTCAACACTAATTATGTATGAAGTGCAGAGATGGTACCCACCACCGAGCCGGTGCCAGTACTCACCAGAAGTTCATCTCGTTGCCCCATTTTCTAGCACCGACAATGTGATCTTCGTGGGAAGAACACGTCGGCTGATGCGCCATCGCAAAAAAGACCTGGAAATCTGGAACTAATAATGGCCCAGGCTCGAATCGAACGAGCGGTCTCTGCTGTATCGGACAGCAATGCTGACTATATATCAGGTGCAGAGCTGGTACCCACCACCGAGCCGTTCTCCATATTAACTTGAAGTCAACGTCATGCATTACTTTTTCCCACAAAGCCCAAAAAAGGTATGGGGTTAGGGCACCACTAAGGCTCAGGCCCGAGTCGAACGAGCGGTCTCTGCTGTATCTCACAAGGCAACTGGTTATTGAGTGTAGAGCTGGTACCCACCACTGAGCCGTTCTTGGTATTGATTTGAGGTCAACGTCATGCATCACCTTTCCGTGCAGAGCCCGAAAAAGGATGAGATGGGAGTGTCAAAGCTCAGGCCCGAGTCGAACGAGCGGTCTCTGCTCCAATTTTACAAATGACACGGGCACAGAGTGCAGAGATGGTACCCACCACCAAGCCATTCTCTGTATTGATTTGAGGTTGACTTTATGCATTTCTTTGTCCATGAAGTCCAAAAAGGGATGCGGCTAGCACTTAAGGCTCAGGTCCGAGTCAAACGAGTGGTCTCTGCTGTTATTAGGCATGTATTGGACACAAAAATGGTACCCACCACTGAGCCGTTCTTGGTATTGATTTGAGGTGGACTTCATGCATTACTTTCCCCCAGCAAGTCCGAAAAAGCGAGTATTGGAGGATTAAGGCTTAGGCCCGAGTTGAACAGGCGCTCTCTGCTGTATATGCAAGTTTTCGTTTCCCGCAATTGAGGCAGAGCTGGTACCCACCACCGAGCCATTCTCTATATTAATTTGTGGTCAACTTCATGTATTAATTTTTCCACGAAGCGAAGTCCAAAAGGGGACATGGTCCATCAATAAGGCTCAGGCCCGAGTCAAATGAGCGGTCTCTGCTGCAATTGGACCGAAACCATTGATTGAATACAGAGATGGTACCCACCACCAAGACGTTCTTGGTATTGAGTTGTGGGTTGACTTATGCAGATCTTTTTATTATCATTCAGAATACCAAAGAAAAAAAACTCGGTTTATAGTGGCTCAGGCCCGAGTCGAACGGGCGGTCTGCTGCGTTATATATCTACAACCCAATTAGTGCAGAGGTGGTACCCACCACCGAGCCGTTCTCTGTATTAATTTGAGGTTGACCTCATGTATTAGTTTTCTCCACAAAGTCTGAAAAAGAACTGGAACTAAGCAATGGCTCAGGCCGAGCCAAATGAGCGGTCTCTGCGTCATTTCAACATCCGGGACGGGCTGTTGGGTGCAGAGATGGTACCCACCACTGAGCCGTTCTTGGTATTGATTCGAAGTCAACTTCATGCACTACCTTTCTCTCACAAAGTCCAAAAAGGTGATGAAGTCTGCACTAAGGCTCAGGCCCGAGTCGAACGAGCGGTCTCCGCCGCAGCTGCATCGAAACTACGAATTGAGTACAGAGCTGGTACCCACCACTGAGCTGTTCTTGGTATTGAGTTATAGTCAACTTCATACATCATTTTTTTCCCCATGAAGTCCAAAAAGCAATGGCGAAGTCATAAGGCTCAGGCTCGAGTCGAACGAGCGGTCTCTGCTGTATTGTATTGTCAATGGCCACTTAGTGCAGAGGGTACCCACCACCGAGCCGTTCTCTGCATTAATTGGAGGTCAACTTCATGCATTACCTTTCCCCATGAAGTTTGAAAAAGGGAGGAGCTTCATCACATCAAGGCTCAAGCTCGAGTTGAACGAGCGGTCTCTGCTGCGTTTCAACGTCCGGGAGTCACTATTGGATGCAGAGCTGGTACCCACCACCAAGTCGTTCTCCGTATTGGTTTGAAGTCATTCATGTGCATTACTTTTCCCATAAAGTCCAAAAAAGGTATGAAGTTAGGGCACCACTAAGGCTCAGGCCCGAGTCGAACGAGCGGTCTCTGCTGCAGCTGCATCGAAACTACGAATTGAGTGCAGAGCTGGTACCCACCACCGAGCCGTTCTCTGTATTAATTTGTGGGTTGATTTATGCATTACATTTTTTTATCTGCAACAAAAACAACACATTCCCCGGAATGGCTCAGGCTCGACTCGAACGAGCGGTCTCTGCTGTACCTCATGCGACATATTCATTTATTGAGCACAGAGACGGTGCCCACCACCGAGCTGTCCTGAGCACTGGGTTGTGGGTTGATTTATGCAATACATTTTTTTACTTGCAACAAAAGAAGCATCTCTCATCAGAACGGCTCAGGCTCGAATCGAACGAACGGTCTCTGCTGTATCGGACAGCAATGTTGATTATTTATCAAGTGCAGAGCTGGTACCCACCACCGAGCCGTTCTCTGCCTTAATTTGAAGTCAACTTCATGCATTGCCTTTCTCCATGAAGCCCAAAAAGAGCTGAACTGGAACCCACTTATGACTCAGGCTCGAATCGAACGAGCGGTCACTGCAACGTATCCAAACAGTACACATCACTATTATTGGGTGCAGAGATGGTACCCACCACTGAGCCGTTCTTGGTATCGAGATGTGGGTTGATTTATGCAGGTTTTGTATTCAGATCACCAAAGAAAAAAGAGGACAGAGACAAGCCATGAGGCTCAGGCCCGAGTCGAACGAGCGGTCCCTGCCGTACCCATAGTTATGGGACATTGAGGGCAGAGATGGTACGCACCGCTGAGCCGTTCTTAGCGGGTTGATTGATGTAGCCATTCTTGGTATTGAGTTATAGCTAATTTATGCAGGTCTCTTTTCGGATTACGAAATAATTAAAAAGCGGAGCAAACAGGACGTCGACGTAAGGCTTAGGCCCCAGTTGAACAGGCGCTCTCTGCTGTATATGCAAGTTTTCGTTTCCCGCAATTGAGGCAGAGCTGGTACCCACTACCGAGCCATTCTCTATATTAATTTGTGGCCAACTTCATGTATTAATTTTTCCACGAAGCGAAGTCCAAAAGGGGACATGGTCCATCAATAAGGCTCAGGCCCGAGTCAAATGAGCGGTCTCTGCTGCAATTGGACTGAAACCATTGATTGAATACAGAGATGGTACCCACCACCAAGACGTTCTTGGTATTGAGTTGTGGGTTGATTTATGCAGATCTTTTTATTATCATTCAGAATACCAAAGAAAAAAGAGCACAACCACTCGATTTATAGTGGCTCAGGCCCGAGTCGAACGGGCGGTCTGCTGCGTTATATATCTACAAGCCAATTATTGCAGAGGTGGTACCCACCACCGAGCCATTCTCTGTATTAATTTGAGGTTGACCTCATGTATTAGTTTTCTCCACAAAGTCTAGAAAAGAACTGGAACTAAGCAATGGCTCAGGCCCGAGTCAAACCAGCGGTCTCTGCGTCATTTCAACATCCGGGACGGGCTGTTGGGTGCAGAGATGGTACCCACCACTGAGCCGTTCTTGGTATTGATTCGAAGTCAACTTCATGCATTACCTTTCTCTCACAAAGTCCAAAAAGGTGATGAAGTCTGCACTAAGGCTCAGGCCCGAGTCGAACGAGCGGTCTCTGCTGTACCTCACGCGACATATTCATTTATTGAGCACAGAGACGGTGCCCACCACCGAGCCATTCTGAGCACTGGGTTGTGGGTTGATTTATGCAATACATTTTTTTACTTGCAACAAAAGCAGCATCTTCCATCAGAACGGCTCAGGCTCGAATCGAACGAACGGTCCCTGCTGCATTCAACCACTCAAGCTGCAAAGTTACTGAGCACAGAGATGGTACCCACCACCGAGCCGTTCTCTGCCTTAATTTGAAGTCAACTTCATGCATTACCTTTCTCCATGAAGTCCAAAAAGAGCTGAGCTGGATATACCCTTATGGCTCAGGCTCGAATCGAACGAGCGGTCACTGCAACGTATCCAAACACATCACTATTATTGGGTGCACCACTGAGCCGTTCTTGGTATTGAGGTGTGGGTTGATTTATGCAGGTTTGTATTCAGATCACCAAAGAAAAAGAGGACAGAGACGAGCCATAAGGCTCAGGCCCGAGTCGAACGAGCGGTCCCTGCTGTACCCACAGTTATTCGACATTGAGGGCAGAGATCGTACACACCACCGAGCCGTTCTGTGCACTGGGTTGATTGATGCAGCCATTCTTGGTATTGAGTTATAGCTAATTTATGCAGGGCTTTCTTTTCAGATTACGAAATAATTAAAAGGCGGAGCAGACAGGACGTCGACGTAAGGCTCAGGCCCGAGTCGAACAGGCGCTCTCTGCTGTATACACAATTTTCTGATCCCATCAATGGAGGCAGAGCTGGTGCCACCACCGAGCCGGTGGTAGTATTTTGTTGAAGGTTCATCTCGTTGGTTATTTTGCAACGCGGGAAGAACGCGTCGGCTGATGCGCCATCACGCAAGTGCGATGCGACGGAACGCACTTTGATCGGGCACCTTGAAATAAATTGTGCGTCGCGAATTAAATATATTGATGCGGGCAAGCCGAAATGCGTCCCGAACTCGGTTTGGCTAGACGACGTCATGTTCGACGTTGTGGCGTTTTCGTCGCAGTTAAACTTGGTCTATGGCCGTTTGTGCTGGATTTACTTTTCGATGCTGGGATGGATCGCCGGGGGCGTAAGCAGGGTTGGGAATGGTACTTGAGGTGCGAGGGCTGGCGTAGAAATCTCGCGCACTCGACGACGAACGAAGATCTTTGCATTGAGTCAGTCTCCGCGGAGACGGGCAGACATGGTCGTCATCGGCAGACGGATGTTGCAACGATGGTCGATGGGATGCATGTTTTGGGTGTCAAGAGAATAGAAACGCAGGTGGAGGAAGGTTGAGCTTGCTAACAAGGGGTGGATGCAATTAGGGGGGTTCTTGTAAGGGGGTTGATGTTAATGGGGATAGATACGGATTAGGGTAGATATAACCACATCCACGCGAAAAGGGCGCTCGCTCACTCGACGGCCATGTCCTTTGAGTATCTACAGCAGGACTATCCCACAACAGACATCGACCATGCACTCCCAGGCGGCACAATTGCCTTCCAGCTGCCCGAGTATCTGTACGATGCCCCGCCGACGCTGGCGAGCGGGGGAGGCGCAGAGGCGCTCCATCCCGCCCAGGCCGCGATGTGGTTTGCCAATAGCGGCTTCAGCCACCAGGCACAGTATCCCCAGTATCAGGAGTATCCCGCCGTGCAGGATGCGTACGACTCGCTCGAGACCCTGCAGGATGCCTGGGCTACTCCCTTCAATAACGACTATGCACCCCCGATAAGCCACTATGCACTCAACGCCTCCCCGGCCCCGTCTACCCTCACTTCGGGTCTGCCGGTCTACTCCCAGTCCGGCTTCGACATCGTCTCCCTCCTCGCGCGCGTCCAAACCCGCGCGAACCCCCTCATCCACCTCGGCCCAGTCGACTTTACCACCGCGTTCGTCGTGGTGGATGTACGTCGGCACGACGACCCCATCGTGTACTGCAGCCCCAACTTCTGCACGTTGACGGGGTATAAGGAGCGTGAGGTCCTCGGGCGGAATTGTCGCTTCCTGCAAGCCCCGCCGGCGCCGGGGGGTGACGGGATAGGGCATGTGGCGAAGGGCGAGGAGCGGCGGCATACGAGCGGGAGTGCGGTGCGGGCGCTGGCGAAGGCGGTGGGCGGGCGCAAGGAGGCGCAGGTCAGTGTGGTGAATTACAGGAAGGACGGCAGCGCGTTCGTCAACCTCGTGAGCGTCGTCCCGCTCTTTGGGGAGCATGCGGACACGGACGCCAAGGGGGGCGAGTGCGTGTGGTTCGTGGGGTTCCAGATCGACTTGACGAAGCAGAGCGAGGGGATATGCGAGCGGGTGAGGGAGGGGAGCTATTATTCCGGCGCGCTCGTGTCGTTGCAGCAGCAGGCCGCCGCCACCGCCACCACGAAGAAGACCATCGAGGGCGGGGCTGTGGTGCCGGCGACGACGAGCACGACGCAGCGCGAACGCCGCTCCACCGCCGTCCCCGCCCCCCGCGTCTCCGCCACGCTCGCTCGTCTCCTCACAAACCCCGCGTTCTTGGCTTCGTGTGGCGTGCAGGGCGGTCTTAGTGGGATAGGTGTGTTTTTAATTCACATTTTATTTTTTGGACGCAAGTGCTAATGGCGCGATAGGCGGCGGCATCCCCCCCGACCCGAGCTCGCACGCCCTGCATTCGCTGTTGTTGGGCGAGCTGCCGGATTTCGTGCATGTGCTGAGTCTGAAGGTGCGTCTTCATCTCATTTGCCTTCCCCCTCTTCATTGCTACCTCCCCCGCCGTCCCCTTGCTCCTTTTCAGCCTACTTTGCGTTCATTACACCTCCCTCCCCTTCACTACCTGCGCACCCTTCCTCAACCTCGCTCGCCTTCCCTTCGTCACTACCTCCCCTTCTCACTTCACTCCCCTCCTCCTCCCTCAACCTCGCCTTCCTCGCTTCCCCCGCCTAGCGCTTCCTTCCGCGCTCTCCCGTACCCCCTCCCTCGCCCCCGCGTACCTTCCTCCCTCCCCCTTCATACCCCTTCCCCTCCTTTCGCGCGCTCATCCCGCTCCCGTTCCCGCTCTCCATGGCCATTCTAATTATATAATTCTACCTCCCCGCTTCCATGCTTCCCTGCTTCCCTTCCCTCCCTTGCCTTCCCTGCATTCTCCCCCTCCGCGTTACTCTCCCTCCTTCTTCTCCCAACTACCGCTTCCCCTTCGTTCTTCGTTTCGCGCGTTCATCCGGATCCGGAGTATGCGCTTCGTGACTGGACTGGAGGTGCCTAGGCTAGGCCTTCGATTTCATTCATTCTGCGCTCGTTCTGCGGGGTGGGTGGGGTGCGGGGGCGTTTGCGTGCCCGCGTCCCTCACCCCCCTTTCCGTATCTTTTCACCCCACCGCTTTTCTCCCTTCCTCTCTACTCGTGCACATACATTATTAGCCCTCTCCGCATCACACCACTGATCGCTAACCACCACGCACACAGGGCGCCTTCCTCTACGTCGCCCCCGCCGTCACGCGCGTCCTCGGCTGGGCCCCCGCCGAGCTCGTCGGCCGCGCGCTCGCCGATGTGTGTTTTGCGCGGGATGTGGTTAGCGGTACGTTTTGTTTTCTCTACTTGTTGGGTTTGGGGAGGGAGGATTCGAGTTCCGTGCATGCGTACGAGGGGGGGGAGGATCTTGTGTGCGACGTTGGAGGGCGGGACGGGACGCACGATGCGTCGACAGACGACTTTTTCGTTCTCCTCCCTCGCTTTGTGGAGTGCTGGACTTGGGTTGGGACGTGCCTTGAGAAGAGACGTTCCGCGACGCGAGCCCGACGATGGAACGCATGACGCTTTCGCCTTTCCTTTCTTTTCGTTCTTGATGCAATACGATGCTGACGAACCTTTTTGCAGTCGGGCGCGCGCTCAAGGAAGCAAGTCTCCCCATCGAGGGCGTACGGATTGAGGAGAAGGGGGAGGGGGGTGTGGGTGCGAGTGGGAAGGGTGAGTTTTTTCCTTCGTCGTAGGCGGGACGGTTTTCCGCGTTTATGGTCTTACCCCCG